TTTCTGCATCCACATCACCCCTTACATCTGGCCACCTAACTCCCCAGACTACAGACCCTTATGTATGTGGGATGCATTTGAGCGAGAGAGCAACCAAACTCCTTGTAACACCAAAGATGACCTAAAAGCAAGGATTATGACAGCATTCATCAACTTAAACAAGGCGGGAAACCGCCCAGAAGAGTTCCAGGAGATTCCGAAGTCGTCTGGTTGAAGCCAATGTAGATTTTATTGAATAAATTATTTTACTCATTAGTATTTCAAGATATTTTTGGCGTCATTTTGGTAAATATGTCGGTGTTATTTTCATTTTTGCGTCATTTAGACAATTTTATTTTTATCTATCGCACCTTGTACGTCTTTAAGATGTTTCGCTGGCGATAAACAATGATAGAATAAAAAAAAAAAAAAAAACGCTTTATGACAATTCTTGAATTACTAAAACAATCACCGTAAATGAAAGAATTCTGTAGAAAATGAAATATCAATATAAAAGACTCAACAAAAAACACTGCATTATTTTTTTTAGTAACGATAAAATGAGCCAAACAAAAAAAAAACAAAAAAATAAGCAATTTATTTTTAGTTGAAAATTGTCATGATCCCCCACAAAGTTGGTAAGATTGGTAAAAACTAAAAAACCAATTATTCTACCAAGCTAATCAAAGATTTTTTTTTTTTTTAGACAAAGCAACAATATAAGTTTGGGTTAGACAGGGACACTGCAAATTAGCAAATAGTTTCTTAAAATAAGAAATGGACATCAATCATCAATACACAAGGAATGTATGATATAAAAAAAAAAAAAAAAAAAAAAAAGAGAAAGAAAAAGCTTTTTTTGTCAATATTTTGTTTGGGAAGCAAAATCTGATGCATTTACAAAATTCATCAGGTTATGTTTGGTTGGTAAAAAAAAATGTTTCTGAAGACAACTTTGGATGAATCTCTTCCTAATTTGCAAAAATAAAAGGATGGAAGCAAATATCAGATTCTACTGAAAAATTTTTAGACCTTTATTGGGATTGAATAACAGATTCAAATAATAGGAATTAAATAGAAAGATTTCATAGAAAACTTGACACTAAAATAAATATACTGGTCCAATCGTTATAAAAGAAATAGGGACATTTCTGTAGAGAACATTTTTTAGACCTTCCTTAGTTCGTGACACTTCGCGTCAGAATCGAAAATTTTTTTTTTTTTTTTTTTTTTTTTTATTGATCCAGACTTTTTTGGACTTAGTTGTTTTGCGCACAAAAACAATTTTTTTTAAGTTAAAAAAAAAAAAAAAAAAAAAAAAATGCAACAAATAGGTTAACAACAGTATCAAACTTGGCATTTGTAAATAACAGCTTTAGTGACTTCAAGAAGTCTAACTCTGTAAAAGTCAGAGATCGATTTGATCGATAAACAGAACCCCTCTTGCAAATCAATAGAGAAAAGTAAAAGAAAAACAAGTATCGCGGCCTAAGGAAGGGTCATCTAAAAAGAATGCTAAATTATTTAAAAATTTTTTTTCCTTTTAGAGTGAACCAGTCTAAGTAATACCGAAATATATCTGGAAAGAAGATGTAAAAAAAAAAAAAACGAACGAGTGAAAGAAGCCATCATCAGTAGACAATCAGTGGTTTGAGACTTGTAGACAAAAGAAGTTTAACGGAAAAGACGAAAAAAAAAAAGAAGGTAAATGAAAAGAGAAAAAGCGACATGAAAAAAAAAAAAAAAAAAAAAAAGCAATAGTACAGAAGTGAAATTGTTGGCTTCCTTGCTAAATTCGAAAAGAAAAGCCATCAAACATTCTTCCAACAACCTTAGAATATCACCATTCAATTTTTAATTCAAAGAAGAAAGAGGAAAAAGAAACATGAATATTAATGTCAGAACTGCAACAATTCAAGAGGAAAAAAAAGAAGCCAAATATTAGAGATGGAATCGCGCCTCGGAGAATATAAAGTGGGGCAGAATAAAAAAAATTAAAATAACAATCAACAAAAACTTACTGATAATTTGTTTTTTTTAGATGCTAGCAGAAATTATTATTAAATTAATTGAAATTAAAAATCTTTGTAGAAGACTAAAAAGAATCAGAAGGAAAAAAAAATTAAGAGATATTTTGAAAAGTTAACAAAAACGAGCCAAATGAAAAGCAAAGAAATTCGATAGCAAATCTACAGATTTTGTCATTAATAAATTTAATTTTTTTCTCGCATGAGAAAATAAATCTAATTTTATCGCCGATTTAAAAAAAAATTCTGATAATGTACAGAAAGGAAAAGTTGCAGACTGAAAAAGGAAATACATTTATGTTTTTACAAAATGTTTTTTATAAAAAAAAAATTTCCCAATAAAAAGAAAAGTTTGTCTACGTATTTAATTTCTTGAACATTTTTTCTACAAATAATAAAACCTACGATGTGGAAAAGTATTCTTCAGGTGTTGCTTTTTAACTGCCTGACTAGCTAGACAAAATAATAAATAAATACTTGTTCATTTGAGTCAAAAAAGGAAAACCGCTTCTATCGAAAAATCAGGACATTTGCTGACTAGTATTGTGTACTATTTCTAGTTAAATTAAATAAATAGAAACTATCCTATATGCCAATTCGTTCATCACTAAACATGGGTGGATAGTGTCAAGCCTGTAGTATCGAGATGGATTGTTTATGGCTTCTTGAGTCATCATTTTCAAGCAATTGTTTCTTCTTTAGAATCAGAGAGACAGTATGACATTTGAAAAATACAAAGTTTTTATTTATGACTTCACAAATCATAAGCGTAGTAGTAGTAGTAGCTTGTGAAATTGGTCCATTTAAAAAAAAATCTCAGGCTTTAAAAGAGGAGTCTGAATTTAAATAATAAACATCAAAGCATGACCTCTCCTCTTCTAAGGGGTTGTTTGTTCCCCTTTTCTTCATTCCCTAGACATATCAACAGAAAGTCAGGTGGTAGAAACCAGATAAAGAAAAAAAAATCATTCAGAGAGCGTGAAGAGTCATAGTAACCACCCCAGTTTTTAAAAAGCGTGTTTAGTTAGGGATTTATCATTTACTGAGTATAGCTTAGATATGGCACAAGGCCGTTAGTATAGAGCGCCTTGTGAGGATCGAACTGATTACTCAGTTGTAATTGATTTTTAGCGAGACGTGTTTGTTAACCAATATATTCGAATTCGAAGTGTAGACATACAGGATTAATTAATAATATTAATTAATTAAATTAATTTGCTTTTCTTAAAAAGAAAAGTTAATGACCGCTTTCTTATCCACCCCATAACATTAAAAAAATGGAAAGACATACAAACAAAAACACACATACACAATATAAAAAATGACTATTAAAGATACTTTTAAAAAAATCACTAAAAATTCAGTTTAGTTTTCTTTTCACTATAAAATTTACAATAAAAAGAAATGATATTTCATTTGGTTAAAAAAAAAAAAAAAAAAAAAGATTAAAGTTTATTTTATCACAATTTTTTTTTAGAAAACCATGGAAAGGTTTTTAAAATTATTCTTCCTTAAAGCCAATTTATTTTCTTTTTGCTTAAATTATTAAAACGAAATTCATATCTGAAGAGAAAAAAAAATGTGAATTGATCCAAGAAAACGTATTTATTTGATTAAGCCGCCACTGACCATGTGAAACTCAAAAAAGAATCGATCAGATATAAAAATGTTCATAACAACAAAGAGGAAAGATTTCCTATTATTGAATTATTTAAATAGTCGTATTTAATTTAAATACGAACGAAAATTTACAATTAGCATTTTTAATAATTAATTAAATAAATTCTTTTTTTGTTCCATTTATTCAAAAAGGAAAATATCTTAAACATTTTAAAAACAATTCATATTGTCTACGTCTTTAATTTTTTTTGACTGGGTGGGAAAAATTGACAGGCAAATTTTCAGGAAAGAAATGAATAAACTTGACAATTCATCGTTTTTGGAAATTTAAAATGATTTCCGACTAAATAAATAAATTCAGTGAAATAAAAAAAAAATACTTTTTTTAAAAAGTCTGACAAAAAAAATGTTTGTTTTTTTTTTTTTTTTATCTAATTTAACTTACTTATTACTTTATCAATATTAAAATTTTTAAAATAAAAAAAATTCTATATTCTGGTCTGAAATTTTAAAACAAAACAAAACAAAAATCAACAAATTTATCAATTATTTGGATAGAATTTTTATACATTATTAAAAGAAATATTTAAGAATCGTTGCAAAACTTAGAAAATCCAAAGATTGCAAGGGAACAAATGTGATTATTATTGTTTTTTTATCTTTTATCAGAGAGCATTTATTTTTAAATTAATAAATATTAGCATAATTTTTCTGATCTCCTCCAATTTAGTAGAAAAAAAAGGAAATTAAAAAGTTTTTATTTTGTTTATTATATTTCATTTATTTATCCATTTATTTATTTTTCGAGCTAGACACAAAAAAAATTTGCACGTTTGCAATTGGTGAATTTATTTTCCTATTATTTTTTTTCTACCCAATTCAGATATTAATCGTTTTAAGAAGGGTTTTGGCTTAAAGAAAAAAAGGAGTGTACTTATTAGGTCAAAATAAAATTATTGTCTTCTTAAAATATATATATATATTTGTGTGTGTGATTCGTAAACTGATTCTAAAAAGAAATGTACACTGACGTCACACACGCAACACAGACGATTAAATGGTGGACCTGATTCCAAAATTAAAATATATGATAAATATTAAACCAATTTTGAAAGAAAGTGGGGATATTCCAAGTTTAGAACCAAGTTCTAAATAGATTTCCATAAGTACAGAAGGCTTGGAAATCTAAACACAAAATTTACAGACTTGAAAAGGCGGCAGTCGCCATGATGTTTCATTGACTATGATGAGGCCTAGAGACTTCTTAGTATATTTTCGAGTTGAGACGAGAAATTTTTCACTCCACTAAAAGAAATCAACGACCGCTATAGACCAAAAAAAATATCCAGGTGTTTAAAATTAATCTTTACGTACCTGTGAGGCGAATTTTCATCGGTCCATTGTGTCCGTTACAAGCCATTCTAGGAGAAAATCCGCAGCAGACATATCCTTCCTTCCACACTTGACTCTACTCAGTTGGGCTTGCCTGCCATATGACCTCTTCAGTATGCAAATGAACAAGGTCAACGGTTGACACGTTGTATGCAAATAATCTAGGTCACTGCTGGAAAAACGCGTGTTCGCTGTATTTTTTTTTAGTTTTAAAATAAAAGACGAGTTTAATTTTTAATAATAATCAAGTTTCGACTGTAATTTAATAAAGTTGAAAGTTATATACGCATATAATAGAACTCTGTAACTTTTTAAAGCAATGCACTTTTTTTTATAATATACGCACACTTCAAAAAATAAACTTGAAATTTTTTCACGTATGAAATTGGGGTGAATAATGTTGGCTTTTTTTCTGATCCAATTTTATTGAGATTTTTTTTAGAGATCAAAAATAAATTTCGCATCCATTTCCGGGTTTTCCTTACTGGTGGATCGAAGACACTCGCTTCTTATTTCAACATAATTTGTGTGAAATTGTGGCCAAAGACAGATTGTGTTGCAAATTACGACTTAGCAGCATTATTAGTCACAATTATTATTAAAAAATAAACTTCCAATCATTGTGATAAATTTAAAACTGCAATTTACATCAAAAAATTTTTATGTAAAAGTTTTGGTAATCTGATTCTCTGTGGGAACATCTGTAGTAGTAGGCAAATTATTAAAATACAATATACCTTAAATTTAAATACCCTGAAAAGTATCACCTACCTATTATCTCCTTAACTGTTAAGGCTTAACACATCATTAACATTAAAACCGGCATTTTTAAGGACAAGTTAATCGGGTGATTTTGTTTCCGAAACCAGATACTTACGAAACAAAAGTTCAAAGACCCAGTAAAAATTCGAAGGACAATCCTACCGCACTCACCAAACTCTCCGACCTCAATACAAACCCAGGAAAAGTCTTCGAGGTCAGTTCTCTCTACCCTTTTGCTAGATAGGCTGATCCACTCCTCTAATCATCAAAAAGTCAAGACGAATTCCTGCTACAAAGAAGGTGGGATCTCTCTCTCTCTCTCTCTCTCTCTCTCTCTCTCTCCCTCTCTCTCTCTCTTCGAATTCTGTCGAACAAGAAGGATATGAATTTGTATTTATAAAAAGAAAATAAACCTTCCAAAACAACAGTCGCCCTCCGAATTTTGAATGTAAAAACTGTGCCAACCACTGCATATTATTTCATACTTAAACAGTCTTTATTTATAATTTGAAAGAAAAAGAAAAAGATATACAAGACATTAAAAAAAAACTAGAATGTAACTTCAGTGAGTCTTTTGATCTCTAGTCGCTCCGCTTCCCTCTTTGGGTAAAGAGAGCCACCTGGCGTAGATTTGTGTAGTTGGGCTGGCATGACTAAGGTTTGTTGTAATATCCTGTGTTTACTTTTTATTTTAGGATATGGATTAAACCCGACATATTTTTATTTTTAATTTATTTTGTTTCAACTTTATAAATCCTACGTGGTCGAGGTACGTCAGATCCAATGACAGTTCCCCATAAGAGGTGAAGGGTCGAATCCTGCCGGAGGACGCATATTTTTCTGACAAGATTTCTCGAATATTCAGGCTGGTAGATGTAGATGGATAAAAAATACTGTTTAAAGAAAAAAGCTACTATTCGAATATGAGTATCCATCAAAAAGAATGTTTATACAAAATGAATTAAAAATAAAAATATGTCGTGTTTGATCTAATATATATATTATTGACCTAATTTATATATATATATTTGTCACAAAAAAATTCGTCGCAAAACATCACGTACAAAAATCGCCGAAAACAATCGCAGTAATGATGAAAATTTGGGAATCCCAAATTTCAGGATTGCGGGTCCCGATCCGACACGGAATATTTTTAATTTGCTCGCGGAGTTGACCTGATTCCAAAATGGTATGATATGTTGGGTTACGGCCTTTAGGAGTGAAGTTTTTTTCAATTTCACTCCTAAAGGCTGATGGTTCGTCCGAGTGTACATGCTACGGTGAGTCTTAGCTGTGAAAATCTGAACTGGTAGAACTAATGAATGTAACTTGTTTGACCATTTGCCATGGACATAACGAGAGAGTAGCGAGGGATCTGTAACATTTCGTCTGTGGGAAAGTGGTTGCAGGGTGGAAAATAATTCATCACCCACAAGGCCGCGTAGACGCTTTTGGACTATAAAAATACTGGAAAGTGACGACTGGGCAGCTCCCGTCCATATATAGCAGCAGTACTCCATTTTCGGTTTTAGATGGCTCTTATAAAGCTAGAGTATATCAAGAGGAGTCAGATACTTACTGGAGCGGTACAGGAAACTGATCATTTTTCCAGCATCTTTAGCGATGAAATGTCACTAATTTTATTTTTGAGATACTTAATGTTAGAAGCCAGTTATTCCCCTTTTGAGCTGTTAGATTTAAGTCACAAGAGAGATCTGTTATCAGCAAGATTTGGGGAAGTGCGCTCATATACCGTTGTATCATCTGCATAGGCATTCACTAAAGATTGGCCTATGTTCTTCGGTAGATCATTACTATATAAAGCAGAATAAGGGTAGGACCAAGGAATTTCTTCACACATAGGTACATTATAAATATTGTGGTATGATACACAACCACGAGATATGACCTTTTCTTTTTATATATTTCAAATTTTCCAATTTAACACGAGTTTACTTAATGTATTTTTTAACAATCCAAGAATGCTTTGACAAGAGGGAAAAACAATGTCTATAAAAAGAAACAGATTAATTTTTATCAATAGAACTATTCTTTCATACAGTAGTCAACATTGTAATTTGAACAAAAATGTGTTTTAAAAAATCACTCATTGATTCAAATATATACTTGCAAGCAATAAATGTTTGAAAACAAACTTGGAAATACTTTCTATTTTGTTAATATTTAATATTTATTTAATTAACAACGTCCCTGGGAACAATTAGCCTTTATGTCACGATCAGTTAAATAATAAGTATTTTTGTTTTAATGTAGATAAGTTTTCTGATATCTACAAACATAGTATAAATAATAACAAGAATGGTTGTTGTTACAATCGACGAGCAAAAGAAATTGGCTCTTCTTCAATTAGGTGGCAATATAAAATGAAAAGGCACGGCCCGCTCACTCACTTCTTTTTCTCTTCATTCACAGGATGCGTAGTGACAAGACGTGTCTCATTGTCCCCCCCCCCGTGAGATTTCTTAGTCCCCCTACTTTTAGCGCATACAACACAATATTGACACAATACTGTCTGCTTTTAAAAAACATAAAACCCTTTATTTTAGACTTAGTGAAAATAGACTAAATAAGAACAAGACAAGATATCCCTAGACATGGATAGTAGAACAAAAACAATCTACCCTAGTAAGGTATTCAGTTCGAAATTCCCTGAAGGTTACCCGGATTGGTATACACCTGAAGAAGGCCGTATTTCTCACTGGACACATGGCACAGTGGATAAAGACGTTGGTTATATCCAGTGACAGGGCCCAAAGAGTGTGAGCTCAATATCTGGTTAAGGCGGTGGAGAACTTGGAGAGACATGGCACGTAGAACTAGAACAGTCTACCCCAGTGAGCGAAATAAAGGGTTCAGTTCGACATTCCAACCACCTGAAGAAGGCCGGAGCGTACAATGGCCGAAACGTTGTAATAAATATGGCGACAAAGATGAGGACAATAGTCCGAATAATGTAAATAGTGTACATAATACTTCATCTAGGAAGTATAGATAGAATTTTGTTTTATGAACTTTCTCTTTATCAATAATTTTCAATCTCCCGTGTCTTTAATTCAGGCACACAAATCTTCTATAATGGCGATTTATACATATTACCATAACACTACAAAAACGGCACATTGTAGCGCAATTTTTGTTAACACAGTAGTTAAAATGTTCCAACTTGGAGAATTAAGCCATTTCCATTTCCTTCGGTTCATCGATATTCGCAAACTGTTTAATTAAGTGTAAATTAACAAAGATTGTCTGTTCAAAGAAGATAACTCCGGTTCTAATAATTACATAATCGTTTACATGATATTTTCTAACAAAAAAGAATGTTTCACCCGTCTACTATAACCGTCACCCATAATGACATACACGTGACGATACTTTAATAATAATTAAGGGAAATAAATATGAATCCTATAAACAGGAAATTACTTGAAACAAAGCAGAGACCGCCAAATGCGTTATTTAAGCGGACACAGAATTAAGAAGAGTAGATATGGACTTGTCGCGACCGCCTTTGGCCGCTCCTTAAAACTGAAGAGAACAGGGCTCTTCGACCTTGACCTTTTGATCGTGTTCCCTACACGCTGGTAATTTAGTCTCATTTCGTTTAAGAATTGAGCTAATTACTTTTTAGTTCCGTTTGTGTTACGAAACTAGTCATAATACACCTCTTAGCATTTTTAGACATTTGTTTTTTCGTAGCAAATCTCAACTCATTTTTAGAGAGATTTTTTAGCATTTTTGCGAGACCGTGTCTGTTGTTGGTCTTCCTTAACATAACACAGCGACTTCACGCTGTTTTTTTTTTGTTTTTTTTTTTTTTCCATCTCAGAATTTTGTACATATGTGTTAGGATCATTAAATTATTATGACACGGGGCGCGTTTTGTAGGTCTCCCTAGAGTGGATGTGGTATTATGGTGCATGGAGGATTGATTGGTGATGGACGAGTTCTTATGGTGAATGAGTAAATTGTATGTCTGAATGGGTCGTGAATCAAATTAGCTAGGTATAAGATAGTTAGTGAAGACCAGCCTTTTACCTCCTCCCCCTTTTCGGCCTTGTGCCACAATTTTGTATTTTTACAAAATAAATCACGGTCGGTACACAGACGACTGAACGGTAGGTACGCAGGACGCCGACCCGTGCTGCGTATTTAGTTACGCTCCCATTTTTTTCTGCCAACTTGACGCGAGTTGGATCTACCTCTCTTTACGTCGCCTCTTTACTTCTGGCTCCTTGCCCATGTTCG